TCAAAATTAGTGTTTCTGTACATATACAGTAATATACCTGGAGAGTCAGTTTAGTATCTCCAAGCTACAGGTTCTAAGCTGCTAGCCCAGAAGAGCTGAGGGACATTCCCCTTTACTTCTGGAAGTTAGAGTGCAGCAGAAGACCCAGTGACCCAAGCAGGCATGCATTGGGACAGACAGCAACCCAGGTTCTGGTGGCCACAGCGTTTAGAACACTGCTTGCAGGTCCGGTTGCAGCTCCTCTGGAAAGACACAAGAGCTCAGAAAGACCAGGAGGGGAACATGCAGATGCTAACGAACAATAAAGGTTAGGGCTTGTCATCTGTTGCTGTAGACTGACCCGAGAAAGGTCATGCTGGGTAACTGAAGCTTGTGGAAGGGCACTGTGTATAATATAAAAGAAGTCAGAAGATGGGGTTTAGGCCTAAGCTACCATGAACCTGTGAGACTAAGGAGAGTCACTATCCTTCCATGTCTCACTTGCACCATAAAAACAGCTTAATTGAAACTGAAAAGTGAGTTCATTCTGCACATCAGAGAGGATCTGCAGGCAGTACTATTCAAAGGGCTCTGAGGCCACAGGGAAAGCGACAGGGTACATTAGACACCCAGGGAAGCTCCTTAGATGTATCGGTCAGAGGTGAGGATGGAAGGAAGATTGGGAAACACATGCTTGCCATTCTCAGTTGGTATGCCTCCTTAAGATTTTTGTAACAACAACGAGAAAGAACAGCTGGGTGGTGCATGCTTGTAATCCCAGCACCAGGGAGACTAAGGCAAAATGATCACTGTAAGTTCAAGGCCAGCCTGAACTGCAGTGAGATCCAGTTGCAAACAAAGACACAAAGGAACCTAACCCTATGACTATTACCATGCACTTAAAAAAAAAAAAAAGTTGTAACAGTCAACAAAAATGTCTATTAATGAATATTTTAAGCTGAGTACAGTGGCACATAGCTGTATCCTAGCTGGCGAGGCAAAGGCAGGAGGACCATCACAAGTTCTAGACAGCCTGGGCTACACAGTGGGTTCAAGGCCAATTTAAACTGTATAGCAAGACACTTTCTCAAAAAGACAAAAATGAAACACTGTTATCACCACACCTAATACACCTTGGAGCTTGAAACGGTAAGAAGAGAACTAGTACCATTTGGAGAGACTCAAAACATATCGGGTATATTTTCCAACAGTGTCACAGGCAGAATATTAAAACCCATCAGGAGGGGCTGAGGATTTAGCTTAGTGCCTGCCTGGCAAGTGCAAGGCGTAAGTTCAATCCCTGGTATCAAAAAACCAAGAAAACCAAAATGAAACAAAAAAAACCACATCAGGATTGGTGCCATGATAATACCTACTGAAAGATGAAATTACAGGTAGATGGATCAATCCCCAAACCTCTACTATGGAGTTGCAAAATGCACATGCTAACAAAAGCACCTAATTCATGGACCATACTATTCTTTTTTAAAAAATTTTTTGGTCTTTTTGAGACTGGGTCTCTATGCAGTTCAGGCTGGCCCTGAACTCACTTTGTAGCCCAAGCTGGTCTCGAACTCGCAAGGATCCTCCTGCCTTAGCCTCCTGAGTGCTGGTATTACAGGTGTGAGCCACCATGCCTGGCTGACCACACTATTATTATTATTGTTATTATTATTATTATATTGTCTTTTTCCTTTTTATCAGTACCAGGGATCGAACTCATGACTGCAACACCTGCAAGGCAGGCGTTTATGCCACTGAGCTAAATCCCCAGCCACGACCATACTATTCTTTAAGACTTTCTTCAAAGTTACATTCTTGTGGAAAAAAAAAAAAAAAGACTTGCTCGGGCTGGGGATTTAGCTCAGTGGAATAAGCACCTGCCTGGCAAGCTTGAGATCCTGAGTTCAATCCATAGCACCACAAAATAAAACAAAACGACTTGCTCTATGCTAGGTGTTTTGTTTGTCCATCATCCAAGTCATGCTAAAGTCCTCTGAGGTAAGCACAGGTAATCGGTCCATCTTCAGGGGGTTGGCCAAGGGGAATTTAAGTGAATGCTCAAGGTCACTCTTAAAAGAAAAAAGAAAAAGGTAGGGCTAGGGGTGTGGCTCAGTGGCAGAACACTTGCCTAATATACATAAGACCCTGTGTTAAATCCTCTAGCATTGCAGATAAACAAACAAGCAAACAATTTTTAAAATGGCAGCCACTGGATGTGGTAACATGTGCCTATAATCCCAGCACTTGGGGGAGGATCAGTCTGAGACCAAGTGAGACCTGTTCTGAAGAGTCACACATCAATGCCTGCCACATGAGTCATGATACAATGGTGTTGCTTCCTCCTTTGGACCCTGCTACTTTTTGATGTTGTGATAGTCAGCAGGATGGCCAACAAACTTGTCCTCTATTGTCCCAGCATATTGGTTTTGCTTCCTCAAAGGCCCTGCTGAAGGCAGGGGCAGCCACAGTATCTGGGCATTCATCAGCTTGTGCCTTTGAAGATATCTATAAATGAGATGTGTCACCATCTCACACCGACACTCACTACACCAAGATCCACCAGGCGTTGTACCTCAAGGAATAGACCTGTGCGCTCTCGCCACTTTGGACCCCAAAGGGTTGATAATCAGACTTCAGCACCTGGCTTGAGTTGTCCCTCCTTTGTCATTTATAATCTCTGACTCTTATTTCCTCAATCCAAGAAAACAAACTGGGGGTCATTTTTGCTAAACCTATCTCAGGAGGATGCTACAAAGTTGAGCTGGATGAAAAAATAATGCAGCAACTACAGAGGGTTAAATCAGCCTCTCAGTCCGAGCCCCATTACCTTTTGTTTTGAGACAGAGTCTGGATTATATGGTCCAGGCTGGCCTCAAATTTACAATTTTCTTGCCTCCAGCCTCCTGAGCTCTTTGTCTTGGGAGCTGCCCTTGACAGTGTGGAGTATTTTGCGAAAACTCTGGCCTTAACCCCCGCGTTGCCAAAATGGTTTCCCTGTGCAATGCAATACCCAAAACTGTGTCTAGACAGGGCCCAATAGCCCAAGTTGAGACTTGTGGTACCAGGAACCCTTCTTTCATGAGCACCACTTAAGAGATGTGCACGTCACACCTTTACAGGTGAGTGGCTGATGTTTCCTGAGGGCTTCCAAGGTGCTAGGCCCTGAACAACTTGCTTCCCCGATGTGGTCCAGGCACTGTGCTCACAGTGAACCCTGGACTGGACAGGCCGTCGGTTGCTCTAACCCCAGCTGGAACTTCTTCTATGCCAGCACCCATGGGCCTGCCCCAGCTACATGCTGGACTCATTTTCCACTTAACCCATTTAATTATATTTCTATTCAAATGGAGATATTTAGGACTTTAGAACAATTCCTTCTTTTAGACTATAACTCATCTGTTAACACAATTAACTAGTACTGGAAAAAGCTTTGTGCACAGAAAATAAACTTGTAGTAGTCTAGTTTGATCCTCTTACTAGTTATCAACGATGTCTCCTATGTATGTATTTCTCTGCCCCCTCCTTTTTTGGCGGTACCAGAAATTGAACAAAAGGAGTTACATTCCCCAGTACACTCCCTCCTCTTTTTGAGACTGGATCTCAGTTAGTCACACTATAGTCCCCAGACTGAGTTCAAACTTGTGATTCTCCTTCTTCACCCTTTGGACTCTAGGTATGCATGGTGCATTCACTCGTGGGGGTGGGGGTGGGAGGTGTGGTGCTGGCAACAGAGCTGGGGGCAGGGACTCTCACAGCACCCTCATAAGACATAAAATGAGAATACAGTTCAACTCAGCCCAGGGCAAAGCGGGGCTGGAAATTGTCCAAATGTAACCAAATGATACTTTTCAGCTTTTATCTGAGAATGAGTCACAATTATGCAGAAATATGGATTCCCTTAGGTCCTGCTGTGGATAGACAGGGCTGAAAGAGGTGGCTGAGGGCCTCTAGTATCCTATACAAACATTGTGCTACATGTTCTATGTTATGAAGAAACATAAAACACAAAAATGTCAAGGTCATGTATTTCCTTCTATGTGCTTTCCTGGTATGCGGTACAATAAGTACAAGGTATTTTTAAAATCATTAAAAATATGATTTTTATATCCACTTGCCGTATAACCTTGAGAACAGTAGTATCCTTAATCTGTGCCTCAGTTTCCTTGCTTAAAAGTACAGGGAGTTAAGAGTGGTGTGGTAAGGGGCTGGGGATTTAGCTCAGCGGCATAAGCACCTGCCTTGCAAGCAGGCAGTCATGAGTTCGATCCCTGGTACCAATAAAAACAAAAAAGACAAAAAAAAAAAAAAAAAAGAGTGGTGTGGTGGCACACACCTATTGATCCCACTACTTGAGAGGCTAAAGTGGGAGAATCAGGGGATCAAGGCCACCTTGGTCTCAAAAATTAACTGATTAATTAATTAAAAAATATGGAGTGGGCCAGGCATGATAGTATACACTTAAAATTCTAGCACTCAAGAGGTTGAGGCAGGAGGATCACCTAGGCTAGCCTGAACTACATATACCTTGTGCTTATTATTCAATGTTTTCAATTATTTTATATAGTGCTTTAAAAAAAAAGTGCCAGACATAGGAAGACCATCGACAAGTCAATTAATACTTTGCTAATATCTCCCCAAGAATGAGCAAGGATGGACTCAAAAGCAGCGCACTAGTAGCAATGTGGAGGGGCCATCCCCAAACCCAATTACCTCTGTGGTTTTCTGTTTGGGAAGGGAGACTGACACTTGTTTTAAAGACAAGGAAGAACCGTAAAGAAAGAAAAGTGATGGTGAGAAGTTGCTGGGTATATGATCCTACTTCTCTAAGGCTTAACTGTAGAGGGCAGCTCACTTCAACAGAAAAAAGCAAGTCAACCAAAAGCAGAGTTCAGTGCTGGGCCCCATCCCCATTTATTTATTTTACCATTCTAGAAGGGCCAACTGAGAGCCAGTTGGAAAGGGAATGGGCTCGGAGCAAACAGCATCCATGCTGCCACGCAAAGCCTGGCCCGCCTCACCTTGCAGGAGAAAGTAATCTGAGGTTGTACGCTTCAGGGCAGCCTTTGCTTTCTCACTGCTCCAGTCCACTTCTAGTGCCTCTTTGACAGGGCAGAAAACCACCTTCTGTTGAGAAAAAACAGAAATGCTCAGGGATGAAATGTAATGACTTTAAGAAACAAAGCAACAGCTTTTTTCTTCTCAGAGAAATTCCATTATTTAAACTTTCCTGATCATTAAGAGAAGCCAAGGCCCATTCAATCAAAAAAATGCTTGCTGATCACTTACTGTGGGCCCCTCTGTGCATGGGGACCCTATGACAGACATGCACCCTGCACTGAGGCAGGAGAGCCCGCTCCCAGGGTCCACCACACTTCCTTAAACCTGTTTATGTGCACACCGCAGAAATACTTGGTACAGTGAGAAGCAACGTTATGCATTTAAAAATATTCAATAAAACACTCCTAATATTAAACAAAAAGAACTAAAAATTAAACGGTTCTCAGAAGAATGGTTTGATGATGAATGGTAACATTAAGAAAAACAGTAACCAGTATAGGATAAAAGCTGTGGAAAAGGCTATGGAAACAGAATAGCATTTGCAAAAGCCCTGGAGGGTAGTATAAGTCCAGCTAAAACTTATAATGATAAATCAAGTTATCTTCTTTGGTGCTGGAGATTGAACCCAGATTTGCATATGCTCTACAAATGAGTTTTATCCTTCTCAGTCCCAAATCAAATTATCCTAAAAAATGCAATAATACATTTTATTTTAAAATATAAACAATTTATTTTTTTAATTTTGTACAATAAATACATTATCACTTCCAAACATTAGGAAATAACCATACAAGAAAGATGACTACTATTCTTGCCTTATCATGAGCAGTTAAGTCCAAAATCATCTTCTGGGAAAAATACCATCACCCAGTCATTTGCTGGACAGTGCAAGGCAAAGCCAGAATGCCCCGGGTGGCTTGGTGCCTTGGCCAGAAGGGTTAGAGCACAGTAAGGCAAGAGAGCCATTCCTCTGACTGACTGCATACAAAGGCTGAAGTGACAAGTGCATGTACTGAGAATTTGGGAGGCCCGCTTGACTGCAAACAAGCTTGGAGAGGTGAATGAATTCTCTGGGAATTAAGTAATTATCATCACTGGGAGACAACAGTGTCTCATTTTTAATTTTATGGATATAGCAAGGCATGGTGGTGCACACCACTAACCCCAGCAGGAAGATTGCCATGAGTTTGAGGTCAGCCTATGCTACACAGCAAGCAAGATGCTATCTGGAAAAACAAAAAGAAAGACACATTCATGGATATAGAAAGAAAGAAAGCAAGTGTGTGTGTGCATCCACACATCTCAATACTAACTAGCTGTGCCGCTGACAACACCCCTAAAGCAATGATACCCTACTATCAACAAGCACATTTAACTTCCACATCCTGGTTTCTAATCACCATTCCCCATTCACAAAAGCATTTCTCCTTAGAGAAATGGTTGATTTCAAAGCAGTGGGGTTGAAGTGTGGAGGGGTGGAACCGGGTAGAGTGGGGTGGGGCAGGGTGGGGCAGGGCAGGGGAGGGCAGGGCAGGGCAGGGCAGGGCAAGTATAATAGGAGCCAAGAACACCTGTGTCACACTAGAAGGTAAGGACATGCTCCCAGAAGTGAAGGGGAAACAGTAGCCAACTAGAAGAAACTCCTACTGGTCAAATCTGACAGTTTGGCAAAAAAAAAAAAAAAAAAAGAAAAGAGCTGGGCGTGGTGGCACACACCTGTTATCCCAGCAGGAGACAGGAGGATTGTGGCAAGTTCAAGACCAGCCTGAACTGCATAACAAGAACCTGTCTCAAAAATACCTCCCCCAATGAAAATAAAATCATATGAATAAATAATATAAAACAACTCTTAAACAGAAATCCATTAGTCTACAGACCTAAAAAAGTTTGATGAGAAATGAGATATTAACATGCTCAAGTACCTCTCTATAAAGCACATGCTGTTCATGTCAGGCCAAGAGAAACTTCAAATTGGAAGTCTGGCAGACACCTTAAAACAATAACATTAACATTACTAGTAAGCCATGTGCCAGATCACAAGATGTAATGGGAAGAGTGCATTCCCAGATACTCTAGCTACAGATGTGTAACTGGCATCTAATCACAAGAAAACATCAGTTAGCCTATGATCCCAGCACTTGGGACACTGAGACAGGGGAACTGCTGCAAGTTTGAGGCCAGCCTGTTCTGCACAATAAAACCCTGCCTGAAAAAAACGAAACAAAATGAAAAACAACAACAAAAAAGAAAATATCATATAAACCTAAAGGGGAATTTTACAAAGTAACTGGCTTATAATTTCTAAAGATGTCATGATAATCCAAATGTAAGCACAACCCTTAACTGGATCCTGGCACCATGCAAGAGCTTACTGGAGTAACTGGTAAAACTGAGTAAGATCTGGTGGTTAGAAAGCAGTGATATACAAATCTGAATTCTCTCGTAATGGCTGGTTTGTGTTTATAAAGAACACCCTCTTGAGAAAACAGATTAAAATACTTGGGGGTGTTAGGTGTTGGTACTTTACCTTCAAATGACTCAGACAAAACAATTATTAGTATTACACACAGCTACTTCCAAAAGCTTAAGAATGTCAGGCATGGTGGCAAACGTATGTAATCTCAGCACTCAGGAGGCTGAGGCAGGACAACTGCCACAAGTTTGAGACCACCCTGGGCTAGTTTGTTCAAGGGCAATGTGAACCACATAGAGAGACCCATCTCAAAAAATAAATACACAAATAAAAATCCAACAGATCCTGATAACATGGACAATCCACAAAACCACCAAAAGCAGCAATATGGGAGAGTGTCTGTGGCCTTTTATTCTAAAAGTTCTCCAGATTGACTCCAATCCTCACATTTTTATTCCATCATCTTCATAAAATTTCAGGTTACCCTACTAAACTTCTCAGGGAATTCACTTGGTAAATCAAATCACGAGGACAGCCAGTGTTCTTGGCCTGGGCCATTCCTTCCGTCACCAGGCTGGAGCTGAGAGGTCCCCAGGCTAAAATATGGAACCTATTCCATCCTTCTGTACAAAGGTTCGCAGGTTCACAGAAAACGCATTTTCAGGATGAGTCAGTGGGAAGGATGCATTGGGCAGGAGTTAGGGTGCGCTCGAGGGACCTGCGGCTGCCCTTCTCCTTGCTGCCTTGTCCTTGCTTCTCCTCCCTACACCTCACTTCCTCCACAGATGTGGCCGGGCAGGTCAGGAAGCTTCTCCATCAGGTGTGCATTGGAATAGCAGGACCAGTCGTGCTTCCCTGTACCCCACACTAGGCTTTGCACACACACACTAGGTATTTTAGAACTCACAGAGCTGGCTGTTTCAGAGTAAGGAAAGCCAGAGTGACTCTGCCTCTGTTATTTTATTTAATCTTCACCTCTGGGGAATTTCTGACTAAGTCTGTTGACTGGCAAATTTGCACCTCTCATGCCAACTCAAATAGTTCCTCTGGGAAACCTTTTTTGGATACTTCTTCACTACCACTTCATTGCTCTCTCCCCTTCTCTCTCTCTCTCTAGTAGTACTGGGAGCACTGAACTAGAGCCCTCACACTGAGGTACATACCCACCCCCTCTTCAATCTATTTTACTTTATTTTTGTAATTTTGACACAATATCTTTCTAAATTGCCAAAACTACCCAGGCTGGGCTCAAATATAATTGTCCTGCCTCAGCCTACAAGAGTGCTGGGATTACATGGCTGTATTTCATTGCTCTCTCCTTTTATCTGCTGAATACCAGGTAGGGTCTGTACCAGGCTTCTGACAATTCAATTCTGATTAAATCTGTCTCATGACCTCTCCTGGGTACTAAAGGAAGCAAACAAACTAGGGCCACACATTTTCCTACTGCCTTATTTATCATGATGGTACATGTGCTAGAAAAGCCCAGTATCTTCCTAGATGGTGTGAAAACCACAACTTCTGTTTTTCCTCTTTGTTTTTTAAAGTTTCTAATTTAGGAGCACAAAGTGTACCTTGAAGCAAAAGTGGCTTTACAACATTCAGCTTAACCTAGGAAGGGGGGAGGGGAAGGGAACTCTAACCAGAAACCTTTCACAGGAAACAGGAAGTGGTTTCTATCCCACACCAATTCTGTACTCATTGCACAATCCAACTAGTTGTTCTGTACAATTTAAGCAAAAGGGTTGATACTCAATCCAGAGTTTTTGAGCTCAAACATAACTTCAAAATCATAGGGCCACCTCTGCCAAAATGGAGAAGGCACATTATTGTAAGGTGACAAAGCCATGGCCAAAACTCAGTGTAGCCAGGCCCTTCTAGAGAGCTCTGGGTAAGACCACACAAAGACAAGGTTTGGAATCCCAGGGATTGTCATCAGGAATGTATTGAATGCCTCACAACCTTGCGGGCTCAGGGTTGGAATCCAGGCTTGAATTGTACAAGTGTAACAGCTGACTAACAATGTCAGCTGGGGAATATTTTGATACCTTCAAGTTCGGTCCCATGTAGGAAGAGGCTACACAAAAAGCTCTGACTGTAGGGCCTTGAGGAATGGTACACCAAGGCCCAGCCCGAGTGACTGCTTGAGCTGCCACATTCTCCTCTTACTGAGATAAAGTGGCTCCCAAAAGGTTTCCAGATCCATCCCAGTGGGCACCATTAGAATTGACTCCAGGGAAACTTCCAGCTGTGAATGGCTAACAAAGCTTGGCAGCTTACTCTGTATTTGAATGTAAAAGAGTGCTTCACTGGGAGAAGGCCCTTAAGCCATAAAACCCTGCACACCAAGGCCAAGTGTCACACTTGTAAGAGGGTGTGATTTATAAATTGACAGCACCCACAAAGCTGCTTTTGTACTCCTCCAGTTGTTAACAATTTACCCCCCTCCCCGTCAAACTATTCAGATAAAGCTTGACTGCTTGACTGAGCCTCCAAAATTTAAAAAAAGGAAAGGATGAAGAAAGAAAGAAAGAAAGAAAGAAAGAAAGAAAGAAAGAAAGAAAACACCAATGTTCAACTCTGGTAATTATGGTCCTATGAATAGACACTAAAATTAGGGCTTAATAATTCCTCTGTATCACACTCACAGCATCAAGCTCTTCCAATACAAACACACGAAGCAAAAGAAAATCTCCAGTGTTGCCTTGTTGGAGCCTGTAAGAGTTCCACTTCTGTGGTTTCTGCAAGTCTCTTTTGTGGTTTCTGCACTCCTTAGAAAGCCCCCTTTAGAGCAAATTTAACTTGAAATTATGACCTGATGGGTTTTTTCTCAACATTTAAATCTTTTAAAGCAAAAAAGTAAATATGGGCTTGTTTATGTCTTCCCTCTCAGTTCAACAAAACCAATTCAGATCACTTCAAGTTGTTTTCCCTTAGTGCATGATTCCAGTCTGAGAATCCAATACTTGCTACAGAAACCAATTGACTTCTAATTTCTTTTCCACTCCTTTCCTTAAATTTAGTTAATTCACCAGTTCCAAACAGACGCTAAGCTAACATTAATCACATTACAAAGCATACAACTAAATTACACATGGTGGCAGAGACCTGTAATCTTACTAAGGAGGCTGAGGCAGGAGGATCAGAAGTTTGAGGTCAGCTTGCATAATTTAGTGAGATCTGTTTAATACAAAAGATTACAGACATTGCTCAGTTGTAGTGATGCTTGGTTTAAACCTCACTACTAACAAAGGCAGGTGGGTTTGCCTATAATTCTAAGAACATAAATTTAAAACAATTTGGTAGGAGTCTACTGTCCAAAATTCTAAAAAACATAAGAGGACTGGTAGAGTGTTTGCTAGATGTTCAAAGCTGTGGGTTTAATTTGTGGACTGCCACTCACTCAGCCATACTCTCTTTCTTTCTGTATTTTTTTTTTTTTTTTGGTACCAGGTATCAAACTCACAATTTTGTGCTTGCCAGGCAGGCACCTGTGCCACTGAGCTAAATCCCTAGGCCTTTCTTTTCATATTTTATGTAAACAAATTTTTTTTTAAAAGACAGGTTCTTGCCATGTAGTCCAGAATGGCCCTGAACTCATGGCAATCCTCTTGTCTCAATCTCTCAAGTGCTGGGGTTACAGGCGTGCGCCACCATGCCTGACTATAATAAGTATTATCAAATGTTTTTTGGTAAAACAAATCAGGGGCTGGGGATTTAGCTCAGCGGCTTAAGCGCCTGTCTGGCAAGTGCAAGGTCATGAGTTCGATCCTAGGGACCACACACACACAAAAAAGGTAAAACAAATGAGCCAGGGCATGGTGGCACATGCCTATGATCAAGCTATTCAGAGGCTGAGTCAGGATGCTCACAAGTTTGAGGCCAGTTCAGAAAACTTAGTGAGACCCTAGTGAGAATAAAAATTTAAAAAGGACCAGTGGTAGACTTTCCCCTGAGTTCGGTGTGGGAGTGGAGGTGTTTAAACTGCCTCCTGCACAGTTAGCACTTATCAAATTGTCTATCTGAAAAAATTATTTGTACAGAAATAATGGTTTAGGGGCTGGGGATTTAGCTCAGCGCCATAAGCGCCTGCCTTGCAAGCAGGCAGTCATGAGTTCGATCCCTGGTACCGATAAAAATGAAAAATAGACAAAAAAAAAAAAAAAAAAAGAAATAATGGTTTCGGGGAGCTGGGGATTTAGCTCAGTGGCACAAGCATATGCCTGGCAAGTGTGAGCTCCATACTGCTCCATGCACCACATGTCAAAACTGGTAGCCTTTACACCTAAATCAGCCACTCAGGCACGCTTTCTTTGGCTTCCACAGTGGTGACCAAATAGCATTCAAAGCAATTTCAGTAGCAGTTAAAAAACTGGGGACAGTGCATATAAAAGTTGGCACTTCCCAACTCTCTTGAAAATTTACATCTGGAATGTGGACCTTCTTTTCCCCAGTGCAACAGCTGATTGGTGCTCAACTACAGCCACCTATGATGGGTAGGGTAAGCATGGGCGCCTCTCAAGACTGCCCCACTAGATTTGCTTTTTCTCATTTGCAATTGCAAAGGCTCAGTCCCTAAAAAGCCCCAAGGTTTCTGAGCTTGGCTCCTGTTCCCCACCCTCTCCCCATCCCCCCCTGTCAAGGCAAGTACAGTACCTTTTTGACCATTGTAGTCTCAGATGAATCAAGTTTTGCTCTCTTGGTGTCAGGTCCATCTTCTACTCCTTGGCTAACTTTGGCAACTTTGGTTTTCTCCCTAGAGAATTAAGTTCTATTATTATGAACTGTGTCATGATTGTAAAAAATAAGTATTACCAGAAGAATAGGATGGCATGTTGTGCAAAGCACAAAACCTTTGAAGTCAAACAGATCTGGGTTCAAATCCCAACCCTATCACAAACTACCTGATACATCAGTGACCCACTCTGTGGACACAGCAGTTCCTAACACCATTAATACAGAAGTGCAATAAATAAATTACTTGGCACACTGCCCTACACATTGTAAGTGCTCAATAAATGAAAGCAATTACTTTAGACCATTCTACCAGAATCCTAAAATAAATATCCAGCCAGGTGTGGTGGTGCACACATGTAAACCCAGCACTCAAGGGGCTGAAGCAGGAGGAGCACTGAGAGTTCGAGGCCAGCCTGGGCTACACAATAACTTCAAGGGCAGCCTGAACCATACAGCAAGGCCCTATTTCAAAAAAATGAAACTGGGGCCAGGTATACAGCTCAGCAGCACAAGCACCTGCCTGGCAAGCATGAAGTTATGAGTTCGATCCCTGGTACCAAAACAAAACAAAACAAAATTCCCCAAAACCAAATTCAACCTTAATTCCTTTCTTTTGCTGTGGCAAGCCTATGTTAAAATGACCTGGCCTGCTTTTCATTACTATAACTTTATTTGTAATATGCCCAAAAATTTAGATAACTCCACATCCACACAATGTTATCATTAGGAGATATCCTAAACATATTTCTCCTTCCTTTGCTTTCAATTGGCCAGAGAAACTTTGGCTACTTCCTTAAGAGGCTGAACAGGAGAACAGTTTTCAGGGCTCTTTTTACCTCTCATTAGCAAGATGGGGTGGGGCAAGTGTGTATCAGAAATTACAACCACAATAGCCAGACGTGGTGACTCATGCTTGTAATCCCAGCACTCGGGAGGCTGAGGCAGGAGGATCCTTGCAAGTTTGAGACCAGCCTAGGCTACAAAGTGAGTTCAAGGCCAGCCTGAACTGCATAGAAACCCTGTCTCAAAAAATAAAAATAAAAATAAAAAAAGAAATTACAACAACCAACTCACATACTTTTACAATACTTTACAATCTGCAATGTCTCATGCAGAAGCTACAAATTCAAAACACTACAGATCCTATCATGTGAGAATTACCAGTCGGCAACCTCAATGTTTGAAACAAGGAATAAGGTCTTCATTCCACCAGAGTAGCCTAGCCACAGAAACTTTTCCAAGGTAGAATTCTGCTGAATGAACCTCCAGGGCGATCTACCTAACCATCCCTCAAACTGAAAGCACGCCTTTACCACGCAGAAGATGTAGGTTTGACACCCAAAGTCCAGAATGATCAAACATCCACGTGGTGTACTCCACTTGTGGGACTACTGCATTTGTTTTAGGACTACTGTCATTTTGGAGGGCAGGAGCTGATCTTCTACAATTTTGAACCCACGATCAATCATAGTAAATTGTCAATTTTATAGTAAAATACTTTCCTTAGATGCTTTAATTCCTACCAATAGATAAGACTACATTTAAAAATATTCCATTCTCCTTTCCATGCCAAACTTACTCTACAAACTCATGCTCTCCAAGATTGGCAAATGTGTAGCCATGGTAGCCAAAAACATCTCCAGTGAAGAATTTGATGCTGTTTTTGTGACAGATCTGGTCAACTTTAACTATGACATCCCTGGAGCAGCATGTCAGGCACACCTGCAGAAGGAAGAAATTGGCTGGGTGTGAGTTTTGCAAACTGTGAATCACTGCACTACTGTCTAAATAAACCTTAATGAACAGTCAGTCTCTGGGCACATTAAAAGCCAGTTTCAACTGGTACAACAGGTTCTTTGGGTGCTCTGGGTAGAAGATGAAAGAGAAGGTACAGGTTTCAGTGTGTAGAAAATGTAAATTATGTGTTAGTCATCTTCTGCAGCCAAAAGAAATGTTTAGCTAGAAAAATAAAATCCAATAAATGAATGCTTCCCCTAATCCATAAACATATACAAACTACACAGTTGTCATCAAATAGACAGTAATAATTCAGCAAGCTATTTCTAAACTAGTAACTAGATCTATTAACATTCAAAGAATCTATGGTGAAAAACAAAACATTTTTTTAAACTGATCCAAAGATCATATTTCAATAGGAGAGCATTCCTCTTCTCTTGATTAGTATGTTAAAAAGACAAAGCCTGTTGAGATTATTTTCTCAGGGTCGGGGATTTAGCTCAGTGGCGTAAGTGCCTGCCTGACAAGCGCAAGGTCCTGAATTCAATTCCTGGTACTGCAAAAAAAAAAAAAAAAAAAAAAAAAAAAAAAGAAAGAAAGAAAGAGATTATTTTCTCACAGATTTTGGTGTAAAACTTTATCTGAATTAAAGGACAAAAGGAAAGGTTATAGGCCAAGTGACCTTGTATTTTGACTTAAAAGACAAACACTGATTCACTCAGTGGAGTTATGAGTATGCACCCTCTATGTTGTCTTCCAATAGCATGCCATGCTGGAAATAGCCAAGTTCTACTGCACAAAATATCATCTTTTAAGAAGCTCTGTGATTGCCATTAAAAGATAACTTTGAGGTTAGGGGTATAGCTCAATGGTACAGCAGTGGCTTAGCATAATTGAGGAACTGGGTTCAATTCCCAGCACTGAGGGAGAAAAGGGAGGAAGGAAAACAGTTACCTAGCTTCTAAACTGCACATGCTTTTGCCTGAACATAAGGCCATTTGATACAGCCTCTTTGTCTAGCAGACTGAGTACTAAAATAACACAGGAAGAAAAAGAAAAACACTTAATGTACCTCTTTGGTGTTTCAAAGGATGCAAACACCCAAGGAAAATGCACACCTAAAAGGTAAGAGAGCCACAGGGAACACTCATGAACTCCAGAGTCAAAAGTGATCACGGAGGGGCTGGGAATTTAGCTCAGTGGCATAAGCACCTGCCTTGCAAGCAGGCAGTCGTGAGTTCGATCCCTGGTACCAATAAAAAGGAAAAAGACCAAAAAAAAAAGCGATCCTGGAACACCTGTGTGGACCAGCTAAACAAGCCCCAGGGAGAAGTCATCCTTGCCCCATGCATGGGCATTATCTGGCCATATTCATCTGTTCTTATAAGCCATGTCTCTAAATCTACAAGTTGAAGGGACATTTCAAATAAACAAAGTGCGATTACCATGGATAAGGAAATGAAGAGAAGACTTAAGATGCAAATGGTTGAGTTTGAGCCCCTATACCAAAAAAAAGATTCAAATGAAAAGTACAACAGTACTTGAAGTTATAAAATAGAAGGGACTTGGGGCTGGGGATTTAGCTCAGGGGCATAAGCATCTGCCTAGCCAGTGCGAGGTCATGAGTTCAATCCCTGGTACCACAAAAAAAAAAAAAGAAAGGACTGGTTAAAAGGTCAAATACACAGATGATCCATCATTCCAAGCCCACGTTGGACAGATGGGTATACTATAAAATACAACAGTGAGATGCTGGGCATGGTGACAAATGCCTATAATCCCACTGCTTGGGAGGCTGAGGCAAGAGGATTGCCACAAGTGTGTGACCCTTCTAGTCTACATAGTGAATTCAGGACCAATCTGAACTACATAGTAAGACTGTCTCCAAAATAAAACAAAAACAAAAAACTGTGAAAAACAAAATAGCCAACCCAAAGTCCAACTTAGTATGTAACAGGCCTTTCACTTAAAAATAAGTACCACCTTTGTGACCCTCCACTGCTACCCTGGCCTTCCCAGGATAGAGGGGACTGTGTTTGAAAGATCAGACACTGATACAGAAGTTAACTCATCCTTTCACCCCCGCACAGAACTGTCAGGGAAAGTAAATGAGCTGCCTGTGCCTCACTGGACTTATGACTAAGGTGATACTGCCTTGTTATCCAAGGCAAATGAGACAGCCACAGGTCAAGGTAAAGTATGCTCTTCCTAAGACAAAACAGGAGCTGTAGTCGGATACAGTATTTCTACCACAAAAGTGTCTCTGCCACTGAAATTAACAACTTGTTATTTTTCTAGGAGAAAACATTTGTAATACTATACATCAAAGCTATGTGCAAAGATTCTGGAAAGTCCAAACAACCAGGCTGAAATGTGTTTGGGGTGACATACTCCCAGAAGCCAGCAGACAGTGTGTCACAACCACAGCAGGCCCTATAGACACAATCTATCTACCAGTATATTCATGTGGTATACTCAGCTAGAACAGAACAGCTTTAAAATGTACTTGAGAGGGGTCTGGGGATTTAGCTCAGCGGCATAATGCAAGCAGGCAGTTGTGAGTTCGATCCCTGGTACCGATAAAAATGAAGAAGACCAAAAAAAAAAAAAAAAAAAAAAAATGTACTTGAGAAAACGTTGAGAATTTAAAATTTGAAGGCTCTGGTACACCTACAACTAGTGCTTTAATTTGCTTAACACCCCTAGCAATCTTCATTAAGAAACTTACAGCATCAAACTGAGTGAAAAATGACTCAGGCTTCTTCTCTATATCCTCAGTGTCCACCTTCACATCCACCATGGGGTTGAGATTCTGGGCTCTCTCCAAAGAGGCTTCAGCTCTGTTTCGGCCAATGGACCCAGTGCGAATCAGGAACTGAGCTCCAGGATCATCTGGAGATACCTAGGAAGGAATAATTTTTTCTTTATTCTTTTTTTTCTGGTACTAGGAATCGAAATCATCATCTCATGCTTGCCAGGCAGGCACTTGTGTGCTGAGCTATAATGCCCAGCCCTGGAAAATAACTTTGAAGACAACGAACTTCCTATTTTAAAGGATACCTAAAATTGTATTACTACCATCAAATTGTATTACTGTTCCTATGGTGACTTGCCTAATATAGACTCTCTTCAAAGATTTAAAGCAGTTCATTGAACTTTTTCAAACTGATCACTGATAAAGAGCGCCCCCTTGTGTTTATAAAGGAAATTCATTCTAAATGAAAGTCTCTTCTTGCATTAAAATTTGCTTGTGTTTCTAGCTACTAACAAATGACTGATTACCAGTGATGAGAATACAGATTTTGCAGGGTGCAGTGACACACATCTATAATCCTAACAACTCAGGAGGCTGAGGCAGATAGATCACGAGAGTTCAAGGCCAGCCTGGGCTACACAGTGAATTAAAGTAAGCCTGAACTGCATAGCAAAATTCTTTTTTTTTTGTGGTACCAGGAATTGAAATGAACTCTCAGCCTGATGCTTGTAAGGCAGGTGTTTATGCCACCGAGCTAAATCCTGGGCCCTGCATAGCAAAATTCTTTTTTTTTGTCTTTTTCGTTTTTATCAGTACCAGGGATCGAACTCACGACTGCCTGCTTACAAAGCAGGCACTTATGCTGCTGAGCTAAATCCCCAGCCCCATAGCAAAATTCTTAAGAATGAGCAAATGAACAAAACAACCAACCACAGATTTTGGTTACAGTGCTAAGAACACAGAATCAACTACTGTAGATACTATCGTGTACCCAACTCTAAGCATTCAAAGAAATGCACAAGGATCCAGTCTCTGACTATAAATTGCTTAAAATCAGACCAATGCAAAAATCAGACACAATTAAGAATACCTGAAATAGGGGCTGGGGATTTAGCTCAGCGGCATAAGCGCCTGCCTTGCAAGCAGGCAGTCGTGAATTCGATCCCTGGTATTGATAAAAACGAAAAAGACAAAAAAAAAAAAAAAAAAAAAGAATACCTGAAATGAACTTTTATTGTATTTTATTTTTTTGTCATTTTTGAACAGGGTCTCACCATGCAGTTCAGGGCAGCCTTGGGTTTACTTTGTAACCCACGCTGGACTTGAACTTGCAGTGATTCTCCTGCCTCAGTCTCCTGAGTGCTGGGATCACAGGAGGGCACCACCATGTTTGGCTCTGAAATGAACTTTTAAATTTGATTACAATTCAAAGAGAAGATGAGTGGGGGCTAGAGTATGGACCTCACCGTAAGGCTGGATGTCAGTAGAGCAAAGCATCAAAAATGGAATATGGTAATTCCGTAAGTACTACAAAACTACAGACTCCAAACTGCTCACAAAGCATTTCTTCACATAACAGTACCTAATTCAGCCATTAATCTGTCAGTGATTTCACCACCTTCACTAAGACTATATTCAACAGAAGCAATCTCTGCTACCAATCACCCCTAGCATAGTCTTCCTCAACTTTCCTCCAAAAAAAGGATCTGGTCCTCCTCCTAATCCAGGCCAAGGCCAACCCTGCAGTATAATCCTTGATCCATTCCCGCCTACTTCTTCAGCCATTTCATTCTGCAGGGGAGGCTGGACTTCACAGTAATTATGAGCAAGGGCCCTGAAATAATCCAGGGTCAATTCAAATCTTTTATTCAAAACCTGCTTCAGCCAGGCATGGTGGCACATGCCTATAATTCCAGCTTTGTGGGAAACTGAGGCAGGAGAAATACAAGTATGAGGCCAGCCTACACAAAAGACTCTGTCTCAAAATACAATTTAAAAAATAGTAGGCAACCCACTCGGGATCCCTTCTGCCTCTCTACCAGACAGAAGCTTTCCTTCTCTCAATAAATATTATTCTGCTCTTAAAAGAAAATTTTAATAATAATGCTGGGGATGTATCTCAGCATTCTCTGGGTTAATATGCCCAATACCAAAAAACCAAGCCAAAACAACAAAAAAAAACCCAACACCTGGTTCAACTACTTGCTTTGTGACCTTGAGTAAATATAGTAGAACTACATACATTTAATTGCATGCACAAAATTAAGATGTTAATAAAAGCATACCCTTACTCCACCGACACTAGTCATTACCACCAGCCCACACATACCTTCCTTCCTCATGTCACTCCACGGCCCTGGCCTTCAATCCCAGTCTCTATTCGGCCCTCTTGGTACAGAGGTCCCTAGGATTCCACTGTACAACCACTTATCTCTTTACCCCATAAACCAAATCAATGCTTCTTTTAGTGTCCACCGAATCTGCAGTCATTTCTCAAATCCCTCTCAATAATACAGATTTCTTCCTTTTACCTCTCTGAGTTGTTTATAAAACTGCCCACCTAGCCACTGCTTCCTGGATATCCGATAACCTTTTCTTCTTCTCTTTCTTCCTTTTTTTATTTTCAGTACTGGGGTTCAAATCCAGATGCCCTGCCACTCAGCTACATGCCTAGCCCCTCTTTGTTTTCCATTTTATTTTGAGACAGAGTATCACTAAATTGCCCAGGTAAGACTCAAACTGGTCTCCCCCTCCCTTAGCTTCCCTAAATCCTGGGATTACTGGGTACTGAACTCAGCTAAATCCTTCATGATGGCCTCCATGTGTGTATGCCATCTTTGTGGGTAAGCCACCAAATATCCATCCAATCACCCAGGCAGAAACCTGCACTTCTTGTCACTGATATTTCCCTGACTCTAGCTGCATGGAACAGTGGCTAAGAGCATGGGTAGGTCCTGGACACAACAATAAGACCTAGGTGGACTAAGACTTCCCTTCCTTTCCTAGTTTTTTTTTCTGTAAAACAGTGATGACAACAGGCCCCAGTTGCTGTAGGCCAAACACAACTACAGCTCACAGAACAGGACCCAGGCACCTTCAGTAAAATCTCAGGTGCTGCAGCCATTCCTGCTTTTTCTTAAACTTTAATATGAACATGTCCACCAATTATGTCACCTAAATTTCTCTCTCACAGACATATGCTTCTTGTCATCTGTATCACCAAGATCTTTGCTCAAACCCTTTTTACCTCTCATCTATACAGCAGCAATCTCTCATCTACACAGCAGCAATCTAAGTGGTCTTCTGCCATGTATCCTGTACTGAACATAATTCACAAAATGATCAGTGATTTACTCAAACACATCTATTTACTGGTGACCTATCCCCATGACAATGATCTACCTTACTAATGATAAAGCCCAAAGCTGACCAGGTCCCCTTCTCCATCCATTTAAAAATATTTAATGAGCTTTTAGAACCTATAAGACTGAGTGAAAACTGTTTTTTATGAGTAGAAAATTTTATTGGGGAATAGAACAGCTTCTGAGAGACAGAAGGGATTCTAAACAGGTTGCCAACAAGTCTATTTGTCTGACAAAGTTTTATAGCACCAAGTCACAAATTATAAACAGCCAGTAAGATTACAAGTTTAGTCATTTAGCTAATATTGATCCAATGCATATGGATGACATCATTAAACTTGGTCAATAATCTATGGTTTTGGTCTTGTCTTTAGTCTTAGTAGATGGCAGACAATGGTTTATTCACATGGAAAGACTCAAAAGGGTGGTACCCATAATCTCAAGCTTTCTTAGCGAACAGTATAAATCTGGGCATTGTGACTGTAATCCTCAGGTGCACTTCCAGCCAGTTTTTGATGCATTCTCATCTTTTGCACTGACTCCTTCAAGAGCCTAGTCCTGTCTGACTGCCTGTATTTCTAGCCAATTTATGTCTATAATATTGCCCCTCTGAAGAGCTAATCCTACCTGCAGTTAGGGAAAAGGGGGCGTAGTTTCACTTCAAGCTGAGAGGAATCAGTGTAAGGGAGATAGCAGTCAGAAGCCTTCTCCAGAGAGCTCTTCGAATGGGCCTTGGCTACAAGTCACATTGAGGTTTAGCAGTTATGAAAGAGTTCATAAGGTCCATCTAGTAGATATAAGTAAAAGGAGTCTGGCACACTTGTTGCTGGTTCCATCTGCAGGATCACTTGGGACTGAGTAAAAATTTACAGTGGATTCTCCAGAAGGTCCTCCTAACACAGTCTTGACCTGAAACCTGCCCTACCCCCACCATGTTGGCTCTCATACTGTAAAAACACCACAGTGCTTGTTATACCATTTTTGCCCTGCTGATGGGCTTTTGTGCCAACATTCATGTTCCCCACCTAAAACAGCTCCTCAAACTTGATGCAACATTCTTTATTCTTTAAGATCTACTCAGAATATCCATGGCACCTTCTTGATACAATGACCCAAGTCACGTAACCTGCACACTGGTTTCTAGAAAAATTGAGAAGGAAACAAACTTTCAGCATGTTTCTATCTCTAGCACCTAGCAGACTACAAAGTACCCAGCAGGTACGCTCAGATGCTTGCTCAATACAAACTCAAAGTTCTCAGGAAGATCAACATCATCATTTTAGAGAGGAGCAAACTAAATTTGAGAGGTTAAGTCCTTTGTTCAGTTTGAAGAGCTAGGATTTGAGCCCAAGTCTGCATAATTCCAAAACCTTGGTACTATGCAGCACTGTTTCCCTAGGGTGTTCATAGTCAGGGAAATTGCAGATGGGAAAACCATCATGGGGTGTTCATGAATGGTTAATTTATCTGAGGGAGTCAGGATGAATAAATTAACTAGAAGCAGGTTACGTGAAGCCAGCAGTGGTCAACTCTCCCTATCAGACTCACCAGAGAATTCATTAACTCTATTTTTAAACTAACTTCTTGGATGTCCTAAAGTACACACAGCTGGAGCCAGGCATGGTTGCGCATGCCTGTAATCCCAGTGCTCAGGAGGTTGAGGCAGGTGGATGATTCCAAGTTTGAGCCCAAGTTACAAACAAAATGAGTTCAAGGCCAGCCTGAACTGCATAGTGAGGCCTTATCTCAAAAAGAAGAAAGAAAGAACGAATGAACAGTTGAGGTTGAAGATCACCTTGTTAGGCAGGAGAAAGGCACTGTGGCCCTGCAAATGAAGTGGTAAGGGACAGCGATCAGCTTGTTCAATGGGCAACAGTCATCACTGTTCCATGTGATATTAGAACCTTATCACACGTTTCACTGTATGATCACCCTCCATTCACATATTCCCACAACTAAGTGAGAAAGTCAGTATTTCTATTGTTTCTTTTTCTTCCTTTTTTTTTTTTTTTTTTTTTTTTTTTGGTAATGGGGACTGAACTCAGTATGTTCACATTGAGCTAGTTCCCACTCCTTTTTGAGACAGGGTTTTTCTAAATTGCCCAAAATAGACTTTAATCTGCAATCCTCTTATTTTAGGGTGTCAGGTATATATGGCTGATTTTTTTTTTTTTTTTAATATTTTGAAACAAGGTCACACTAAATTGCCCAGGCTGGTTTCAAACTTGAGATCCTTCTGTCCCAGGCTTCCAAACAGATGGGACTACAGATATGCATTACAATACCTAGCCCCCATGGAGTTTTATGTTTCCAAGCCAACTGCTATCAGTACAGTATTCTACTTAAACTCTCTTACCCTTTTCAAATGTTCCTCTTTGAATGAGGTGCTTTGACCTCTAGAGGGCAGTGTGATCAGAAAAATGCACCCTGTCCCCTGGCAGCTAGATTTCAAGAATATTTTTCCTTAGATTTTTTTTTTTCTTTTTAGTATGGGGAATTAAACTCAGGACCTTGTGCTTTTTAAAATGCAACTTAAAGAAAGCTTGGAATGCAGCTCAGCAGCACAGTTCCTGCCTGGCAAGCATGAGGCTCAGAGTTCAATTCCGTGTACCAAAAGAAAAAAAAAAAAATTAAATTGGGGGCTGTAAAATAAAGTAAACCAACTATCATTTCTTTTTTTTCCATATATCAGGAGATAAACACGTGTGTGTGAGAGACAGACAGACAGAGGACTGAATTCAAGGCCACATACTGAACTGCATCCCCATTCCTTTTTGTTTTACTTTGAGACAGCCCTCACTAAATTGCCCGATTTTGCCTTGAACTTATAATCCTTACTGCCCTGGTCTCTCAAAAATTATAGGAAATGCACACTATCCTCAGCTTGAAGTAGGATTTTTTTTTAGTAAAAAGAATACTTTCAACAAAAAAGGAGAATACTTTCAACCAGACATAGTGGTACACACTTGTTAACTCAGCACTCAGGAGGCTGAGGCAGGATTGCTGTGAGTTTGAGGTCAGCCTAGGCTACAGAGCAAGAACCTGTTTAAAACAAAAACAAAGGGCTGGAGATTTAGCTCAGCAGCATAAGCGCCTGCCTTGCAAGCGCACAGCTGTGAATTCGATCCCCAGTACAAAAACAAAAAACCCAACCCTTCCAGATCTTCCTGGACACCCATATAAAGAGTGTTAAGTTTTTCATTAATATCCTGATTGTCTAGTGGCTAAGAAAATAAATAAGCAAGTAAACAAGCTATCTGGGTCACTTGGGCTTCACTGTATTTTCAGTTAGTTATTCAGATGACTTTTATGGCCAGATTGGAAAACCATTTCTCTAATCCTTACAACCACTTTCCTAAGGGAGAGATTACTAACTCAATTTTACAAACTTACAAGCTCAGTGTGGTGACCTTGAGCCTACACTGTCATCCAGCCAGAATGTGGTACAGTTGGAATTCAAAGCTAGTGCCAGCGCTGTCAATCTCCACAGGCTATAGTTCCCCACTAACTACAGCTTGCTTTCTCAGCACAAGTAGGAAATCACAAAATGGGCAGAGCAAAGAGAAGGGCAGTGATAGGGCAAAGGCACACCTGTTCATGATCCAGCATGGTCAGTCCTTTCACTCCTGCCAAGATGAGATTCTTGGCAATTTCAGCTCCAAGTCCTTTCATGCCGACAAGAAGCACACGGGAGGCCCGAAGCCTGTTAAGGGAGACACTGTTAACCTGATGATACACAACAGTAGTGTGTGCTAAATCACAGAACAAAGTAACAGGGAACTAATTCTGGTTTCACAGAATGCCTAGGCTGATCTCAGACTCACAGCAGTCCTGTCTAACCTCCTGAGTACCACACACACCAGGGTGGAAGTGAGGTCTGACAGTCTCAAACCTACTAAACAGATACATTCCAACTCATCCCACACAAGTTCACAGGTACTGGGCTAGCATAATGAAATACAGTGATAATGTAAATATAACAGCCCCTCTCTCCTGGAAAGGAGGAGGACAGATAAACACATGCCAACTAGCACCAGGTATGGTAGTGCAATTTGTAATCCCATAGGCACAAGAACCACAAATTCCTGCCTGGTCTGAGCAACTTAGCAAGACCCTGTCTCAAAAGGAAGGAAACAGTTCAGTATGTAGGTCCTGAATTCAATTCCAAGTACTGGCCAAAAACAAAACAAAACAAAACAAAAACAAAAGTGATGAAAATTGAGCACGATAGAAATCAAGGATGAGAGAGAATCTGGGGGTTGTTTTGTTTCACGTTGTCTTTTTTTTTTTTTTTTTTTTTGTCTTTTGAGACTGGGTCTCTTCTACGCAGTTCAGGCTAACCTTGAGCTCTCTTTGTATTATAGGCTGGTCTCAAACTCGCAATGATCCTCCTGCCTCAGCCTCCCCAGTGTTGGGATTACAGGCGTAAACCACCACCCAGTTCATTTTGTCTTTTTTTTGCGACAGGGTCTCACTGTGTAGTCCAAGCTAGCCTTGAACATACTATGTAGCCTAGACTGGCCTCATACTCAGAGCAAACATGAACTCCTCCTGCCTCAGTCGCCTGAGTGCTGTGATTACAGGCATGCACCACCAGGCCCAGCATACAGGATAAATTTTTACAGTGATCATGAAAATAAAACTCCCTTTCTGAGAAAGTCTTACTTGAATAAAAATCTAAATAAAGGTCAAACACAAATATCTGGGAGCAGAGTATCCCAGCTAGCAAAGCAAGAAGCATAGAAACCTGAAGCACAGAAATACACTAGCATATTTCAGAGACAGGAGGACAGACAGGAAGACCTGTGCACAAAGGGAAGAATGATAGGAATCAAAGTTGTAGGCAGACCCTGGGGCCATCTCATAAAGGCTCTTACAGGGACTGGAAGGGTTCTGGACTTTTTCTGACCATAATGGGAAGCCATGGATGAGGAAGGTTTCACACTTAAGGTAAGAGAAGACAGATGGCAGAGCACAAACCGGTGAGATAGCCAAAGAGGTAGTAAGAGAGGATACTATTTATACTATTAACACAGAAGCAAAACACATGACACCATGAAAACAGGGTGTACACGGGTAATATTTAGCTCTTTTAAATCTGTAGAGCAACAGATGAGGCTAAGAATAAGGCAGTTAGAGAAAGGCTATCCTAAGACTCCAAAGTCACAGGGAAGCAGCATAGGTTCACGATATCTGAAATCTCTTGAATCAGAAATGTTTCAGAAGCATACTTTTTCAGATTAGAAAAAGGAAATATAAACTTTACATCAGTATAAGACAACCTCATCAGGATCTTAGCCAGTATCTTCTAATTAAAACCACTAATCATTCTGCAGAACATGTATGATTATTTTCACTGAAAAATATTACTAAGAATGTAGAACAGTATCACACAAATTTACGGTCTGCTAGCCAGTGAAGCTGCTACCAAAAAAAGGTTTTCTTAGGGCCAGGGATATAGCTCAATGGTACAAGCACCTCGCTGGCTAACACAAGGTCCTGAGTTTGATTCCTGGTACCTCCTCCCCGCAAAAAACAAGTTTTCTTTTCGGTACAGAGTCTCACTATGTAGTTCAGGCTGGTCTTAAACTCACTGTGTAACAGAAATGTCTGCAGTATATCCCTTTTGGGGCCAGGGTTTAGCTCAGCAGCGTAAGCGCCTGCCTAGCAAGTATAAGGTCATGAGTTCAATCCCTACTGAAAAAAAGTATATCCTGGGACTGGGGGTTTAGCTCAGCGGCATAAGTGCCTGCCTTGCAAGCAGGCGGTCATGAGTTCAATCCCTGATACCGATAAAAAAATGAAAAAGACAAAAAAAAAAAAAAAAGTATATCCTTTTTTTCTGAGTACTACTACATTAAAAAAAAAATAACAACAACAACACTTCTTTATTCATTCATCAGGGTATTTTTGTTTGGTGGGGTTTTTTTGGGTACCAGGGATCGGACTCATAACCTCATACTTGCCAGGCAGACACTTGTGCAACTAAGCTAAATCCCTGGCTCCATTCAACAGTTGATGGGCATTTGGGCTAGTTTTGAGATTTGGCTATTACAAACTGTGCTATTATAAACATGGGTATGCATATATCGCTATGGTATAATGCTTTTCATTCTTTCATGAAGATACCAAAGATGGTAATAGCTGTATCAAATGGAACCTTTAGTCCTAGTTTTTTTTTAGTAATCTCCAAATTCCACAATGATTGCACCAGTCTACACTCCCACCAACAATGAAGAAGGGTTCCTTTTTTTTTTTTTTTTTTTTTTTTTTTTTTTTGTATTTTTACTGGTACCAGGGATCGAACTCATGACCACACGCTTGCAAGGCAGGTGCGTATGCCACTGAGCTAAATCCCCAGCCCCCTGAAGGGTTCCTTTTCCCACAGCCTGGCCAGCATGCTATTGGTTGACTTCTTGGTAACAGTCATTCTTTCTGGGGTGACATGGAATCTCAGTATTGTTTTAATTTGCATCTCTTGAATGAGCAGTAAGGTTGAACATTCTTCCCCTTATTTATTTGCCATTTCTACTTCTTTATCTAGAAGTCTGTGTCAATTTCAGATGCCCATTTTTGGATTGGTTTGTTAAATTTGCACAGTATGGGGAGGCAGGAGGACACTATGAATTCAAAGCCAGCCTGAGCTACATGGTGAGTTCAAGGCCAGTCTGAACTACACAGTGAGACCCTAGCTCAAAAAAAAAGGTGGTAGGATTTTTGAGTTGTTTATATATTCTAGGTATTAGTCCTTTGTCTAAAGAACAGCTCAGACAAGTTTTTCTCACTCTGTGGGTTGTCTCTTTACTCTGTTGGTTGTTTCTTTTGCTGTTCAAAAGCTTTTGAAACCAGACACAGTGGCTCAAGTCTGTAATCCTAGCACTTGGAAGGCTGGGGCAGGAGGATCACTGTCTTTTTCGTTTTTCGTTTTTCCCGGTACCGGGGATCGAACTCACGACTACTTGCTTGCAAGGTAGGCACTTATGCCGCTGAGCTAAATCCCCAGCCCCCTGTAGGATCAGTGTCAGTTCGAGGATTGCCTAGCTTGAACTACATAGTGAGTTTCTGTTTCAAAAAAACCAACAGCAACAACTTTTTAGTAAGATGAAATCCCACATGTTGATTTTTTGTGGTAACTCCTGAGTGATCAGTGTTCTGTTCATAAAGTATTCACCTACACTTATATCCTAAAGAGTTCTATCAACTCTCTTCTAGCAGATGTGGTGTTTCTGTTTTAATATTTGTTTATTCTGATACCAGGAACAGAACTAAGGACTTGTGCTTGCCAAGCAGGCACTGTGCCACTGAGCTATAGCCCCAGGCCTGTTTTAATATCCATCTATTTTGGTACTAGGACCTTGCACTTACCAGGCAGGTGCCGTGCCATTGAGGTACATCCCCAGCCTCTGTTTTAATATTTAAATCTCTGATCCACTTTGATTTTAGTTTAGTGTATGGTGAGAGACATGGGTCTGGTTCAGCATGTGAAAAGCCAGTTTTTCCAGCACCATTTATTAGATGTTATCTTTCTTCCAGTAAAGGTCTTTGGCCTTTTGTGGAAGACAAAGTGACTGAATGTATTTGGAGTTGTTTCTGCATCACCTAGTCTGTTCTAATGACCCTAAGTCTGTTTTTCCCCCCAATATCAAGCTGTTTCTATCACAGTCACTTTGTAGTATAATTGCAAATCAGGGATTGTGATGCCCCCTGCCTTGCCTTTCTTTGCTTTCCTAGGTCTCCTCTGGTTCCAAATGAATTTTACGAATGTTTCCTCTAATTCTGTGAGGTAGGTTAATGGTATTTTGATCAGGATTGCCATCATATCTGTATAATCTTGGGAGTATGGCCATTTTCACTATGTTTGCTCTTCCATCCAAGATCACTGGATATCATTCCATTTTCTGATATCCTTTTGGGGTCTCCTTTTTCAGAGTACTATAGTTTTCAATGTAAAGATCTTTTACTTACTTTTGATTCCTAAGTATTTCATTCTTTTGGACCTTAATGTGAAAGGTGTGATTTCCTTAATTCCTGTCTTAGTGAGTTTGTTATTTGTGTACAATGCAGTACTACTCAGCCATAAATAAGGATAAAATTGAGACACTGCCAACTGAATAAATGGATGCATCCTGAGACCATACTCTATTTTTTTTTTTTTTTTGTCTTTTAGTCACTGAAATTTTCACTCTATTGCCTTGATTATAAAATACTGCTAGGCAACAGGTGTGTAATATGCATGAGTTAATGAGATTTAAGGTGCTGCATTGCTCCCTTTGGAGAGGACACAAACCAAGGAATGCAGTCAGCCTGCAATCACCAGAAAAATCAGTTTTTCCCCAAAAGCCTCCACAGGGAGCATACACCTAGTGACATTGAGTTTAGCACAGTGAACTGATTTCACACCTCTGACCTCCAGAACAGCAAGAGAATAGTCTGTGTTGTTTTACAGTAGTCAGTTTGTAGTGATTTGTCTCATTAGCAATATGAAAATATACTGACAAACAGAGCTATCAGGAACTTGCCCAAGATCACACAGCTACCACATGGCAAAAGCAGGTATCAACAGCTCAGACAGTATTACTTCAGAGCCTGCCTCTCAATATCAGAAATAAAATGTGTAGTCTTAAAGTCACATGATAGGTTGAGGCCAAGGAATCACAAGTTCAAGGCCAGCCAGGGCAATTTAGCAAGCACCTTAAATCTCCATACTCTTTCTCAAAATATAAAGCAGGTTAATATATATATATATATATATATATATATATATATATATATAACAGGTTGAGGAGGGTAACTCAGTGGTAGAGCACCCCTAGGTTCAAACTCCAGTGTGTCATGAAGAAGAAAATAATAAAAGGCTGGCTACTGTGTGGAGCAGAGTTAAGAACGATGAGGGAATGAATGGGTGTGGTGGTACAAATCTATAATCCCAGCACTAAGGGAAGTTGGTAAGGCAGGAGGGGTAGCTTCAAGTTTGAGGCTACCCTTGACGACATAGTGAGACCCTGACTCAAAAATAAAAAAGAAAAAGAGAAAAAGGATAAGAGCAGATTACTGAGGAGACAGTGACAGACATGATGTAGGGTGCCTGGGACTAAGAAATGAAGAAAAGTGGACGAAATAAGACTCAAAGCAGAGCCAATAGGACTTGCCAATGCATGGGATATGAACATAAAAAGACAAATATTAATAAAAAAAACTCTTGGATTTCTGGTCTGTGCCACCAGGTAAACAGTGGGGTCACCTACTAGGGTGAAAAAGGAAAAGAGATGCCTAAAATAGAGTAGGGAAGGGACACAGAATCTTAATTTTTATTTTAGGTTCTGAGAAAATAATATAATGCAGAAGTAGAAGAAAGAGGCAGAACTGCAGAAATATATGTGCACTGTTAGTCAAGTTTTCTAGAAAAAAACTAGTCAAATATACCAAACACTGAAAAGCCAAGTGAGATGACAGATACTGGACATGGCGGCGCACACTTCCTGAGGGAGGCTGAGGCACAAGAAGCACTGCAAATTCAAAGTCCACCTGGGCTACATAAAATGTCCACCATCTTCTCCATTTTACAGTCTCCCAACTTTTAGCCCTTCCATTTCATAAACGCTCCCAGAGTTCCACTATTCCACCTGGAGCTCTCTTAGAGGCCAGGTAAGGAGGATCTTACTTTGTCTGTACAGGGAATGAAATCACTGTCCTTCCTACTCTAGACAGCTGCTGTTAGTTGAAACAGATACAGGAACTTTTGTGTTTTATTTTGTTGCAATAGGGACTCTTACGTAGTCCAGGGCAGCCTTGAACCCACTATAGTCTGGACTGGCCCTATAGTCATGGTAACCCTCCCACCTCAGCCCCCCAAATTTCTAGGATTACAGACAAGCAGTACCTTGCTCACCGAGCACCACTGTTTTTGTCTCAAACTTATTCATGACCTCAACAGTCGACCAGAATCTTTACTTATTTATTTATTTATTTGGTCTTTTTCCTTTTTATCAGTACCAGAGATCGAACTCACGACTGCCTGCTTGCTAGGCAGGCCCTTTGCCGCTGAGCTAAATCTCCAGCTCCTAGAATCTTTAACTGTATTACTGCTCACTGTGCCTTTTTCTCCATACAGAATCATCCCTTTAAAACACAAATCACAATTTACTCCCACATTCAAACACTTCAACAGGTTTCCCAGCAGTTAGAATAAAGCTACTCTTTAACTCATTTGGCTCCTGCCGCCCTAGTTCTCTAATCTTCCAAGCAGCTCAGGCCTCAGGGATTTTGCAGTTACTGTTCCCTATGCTAGGAAGTTCTTCCAGGTGGCTGGATGGCTGGACAAACCTGAGGCTCAACATCACCTGTCAGAAGCCTTCTAGGCTGTCTAATCCTTTGACTCTCGCTCACAGGCTGCAAACACTGTTCAAGAAATACATGATTGATGTAATTCCAGCACTTGGAAGCTGAGACAGGCAGATCGCTGGGAGTTCAAGGTCAGCCTGAAATGCATAGAGACCCTGTCTCAAAAAGACAAAAAAAATTTAAAAATTTAAAAAACAGGGGCTGAGGATTCAGCTCAGTGGCATGAGCGCCTGCCTGGCGAGCACCAGTTTGTGAGTTCGATCCCTGATACCAAAAGAAAAAAAAGGAAAAAAAGAAATGCATGATTGAGCCAGGTACATGGACACAAGCCTGTAACTCCAGATAGGGGGGTAAGCAAAGAACACTACAAGTTCCGGTGCAATGTAGGCAATTTAATAGCTTGGTCAGATCTTGCCCCCCCCCCAATTTTTTTTTTTTTTTTTTTTTTTGTCTTTTTCATTTTTATCGGTACCGGGGATCCTACTCACGACTGCCTGCTTGCAAGGCAGGTACTTATGCCGCTGAGCTAAATCCCCAGCCCCGCCCCTCAAAATTTTTAAATAAATAAATAAATAAAGCTGGGCTATTGGTTAGTGATTGGCAGAATGCTTAAGCAGCAGGCTGGAAGCCCAAGGACCCCAAAAACGTAATCAATCGCATTTCTGAGATCTCATTCCCCACTTAACTGTACCGAACACCCAAGTGGCTTCTCCTGTGGGCTCTGTACACACCTCAAACCAAAGCACCCGTATCCTCTTTTGCTACCTATAGTCCTCTCAGATTCCCCTGGTCTCTCCAATCCTCAAAATCCACATTGTCATTCTGGCTCGGCCCCTAGGAGCCACAAAAAAACACTGCTCCCGCATCAGTTAGGGAGCCCGCCCCCCACCCCTGGAATGAATGAACCACTGTTCCTCCTCGCTTCCGGAGCCCGGTCCTCAGGTTCGAATCTTCTGCACTCTCAAGACCCCCCTTCCACCCTGTTCAGAGGCTTCCGACCCCTCCTACTCTACCCGCGACCACTCATCTTTCACGTCCTCCAGAAACACTCGCAGTCCATCCTCCAGCCCCATCAGGAGAGCCAGCCATAAAAATCCCGGCTCCGATATTCAAACCAGGCCTCCCGCCCCCTCACGCCCCGGGGCGCCTCCGACCGTCGCCCCCTCAAAAGCCCAGACGGTTTACGCCACTACGGCCCTGACCGTTTCTGAGCTTCCAATCCCCAGAGGCGGATCTGCCGATCATATTGTGCCGCCTCCTCCTCGCTGATGCCGCCACCGGCCTCCTCCTTCTCCACCATGGCGCCAGTTCTTGCTGCCGCTGCTCTCAAGTCTTCTAGCCAACAGTCTGCCGGCTCGCGCGCCTCCAACTGCCGCTAGCCGCGCGCCTAGACCCCGTCTGCGTCTGCGCAGGAGGCGGGGCCACGCCTGCTCAGACCGTGCTCCTCGGAATTTGGGATCACGTGGTCCTCCTGTGCCTCAAAGCCGGCACTACTCCCAGCCCTCTGTAAGGGGGTGGCGGGCGCTCCTATGGAAAGAATGTAAGTTCTGCAAATATTTATAGAGTTCCTGCTGAGATTCCAGCTGTGGAGGTGTGGTAAAATAAGGTTAAAAAAAAAAAAAACGGTAAACAAAGACCTACCCTTAAGGGGCTATTGAGGGAATTTTTTTTTTTTTTTTGTCTTTTTCCTTTTTATCGGTACCGGGGATCGAACTCGCGACTGTCTGCTTGTAAGGCAGGCGCTTATGCCGCTGAGCTAAATCCCCAGCCCCTATTGAGGGAAATTTAATTTTAAAAAAATGCCAGTTGTGGCATTTAATAAAAAAAAAAAAAAAGGCAGCACTTGGGAAGCTGAGGCAGGAGGACCACTCGAAGTCCAAAGACAGCTTAGACTACACAGTGAATTTCAAGGTCAGCCTGCACTACATAATGAAATCCGGTCTCAAAAAACCAAACCTAAATAAATTTAGGATTCCTCTGCTTTGTAAATTCAAAAGTGGCCAATGAAGAAGCGAGACAGTTAAACGGTTTATAAAACTTTAAGCTCTCTCAAACTTTTACTAGTGTGGAGGAAGGGAAAGGGAAAAAGAAAAAAAAAGAGAGAGATATGGCCAGGAAAAGCAACACCCACAAGACGGAAAAAAAGACTGTAATTTTTTTTTTTTTTTTTTTTTTTTTTTTTTTTGTCTTTTTGAGACAAGGTCTCAATATGCAGTTCAGGCTGGCTTTGGGCTCACTTTATAGCCTGGGCTGTTCTCAAATTCGCAATGATTCTCCTGGCTAAGGATTACAGGCATGCTCCACCACACCTGGCTGAGACTCAACCTGGAAAATTTGAACTCAACCTCGAGACTCAGTGACTTGGTGAGGCCTGCTGAAATTAAAAATTAAAAATTAACTTCCGGGGGCTGGGGGTTTAGGTCAGCTGCGAAAGCGCCTGTCTTGCAAGCAGGCAGTCGTGAGTTCGATCCCTGGTACCGATAAAAACGAAAGACCAAAAAAAAAAAAAATTTGACTTCCGGCCCCCTGGTTGGAGGGAAAGACGCTGGGAACACGTGGTTGGCTGTTGCCCACCATCTCCCACTGCCACCTGTTCCTTGGTCCTGCATTCACTTGTTGCGAAATTGCTCACTGGGCTGATGTGACACGAGCGCATCAAGGCGACATGGGCAAGGCTATAGAGATGCGGGGCTACATCAAGAAACTCATCAACTCTGGAAAAATGGGAAACACCAACAAATGAGCCGTGAGCATGGCTGACTTCTGTATTATAGAGAAAAACTTGATTCCAAAGCTGTTTACAGTACTGGCCCCTTGGTACCAAGGTCAGAATGGGGGTTACACAAGGATGGTGCAGGTTCCAAATCGAAACAAGCAGGATCGGGCAAAAATGGCAGTCATCAAATACAAAGGGAATTGCCTCCCATCCCAGCGAGACAGCAGCCTAGTACTTACACACTTTTAAACCAGCTGCTGCAGGGGCTTTGGCAGGACCTGCCTAAGAACCAAGAAGCAAGTGTCCACAGCACCCATGCAGCTCGAACACCAAGACTTTAGCTGGAACTGGAGTCTGTGGCTCACTTCAGTGACCGTGCTGACTGGCTTTTGGAGTTCTTTTTATGTCTGAGAAAGAACTGGAGCTAAAGTTGTAAAATGGACTGTTTTAAGGGGACCCAGAATCTTTTGGGGACCGAGATGAACCTCTCTTTGCCCAAAAGATAAGATTCCTTACCATGAAAAAGAAGAAGAAAAATAGAAAAACTGGGACTGGGATTTAGCTCAGCAGCTTAAGTGCCTGCCTTGCAAGTGCAAGGTTATGATTTTGATCCCCACTACCCCCCCAAAAAAAAAGAAAAAGAAAAAATAAAATAACTGGGGATGTGACTCAGTGTAAAGCCCTGAGTTCAATCACCAGTATGGAAGGAAAAACAAAATTCTGGTGGAATGGCGCTCACCTGTAATCTTGACACTGCAGGCTGAGGCAAAAGGGTCCCTCCCTCTCTATGTTCATCAGGGCCAGCCTGAATTCTATATGGAGACTCTACACTGCAGATAATGTGGAGATACCTGTGAGCCAGCAGGAAGGCCTGGGATTTGTGCTCAGTCCCTCCATTCTGGAAGCAGGCTGACACCAGCAAGGGAGCAGGAAGAGTAGGAGCAGCAGAGGCAGAGGCTCCAGTACGCCTCTCTCCTTCTCATCCTGTAACAAGGGAGGCCTGGCATTCCTGGAGGCTGGAAGGGCTTCACTGGCTGAGAATAGGAATTCTCTTCACCAGGATATGGATACTGTTCAATCACCAGGAACACAGAGTTTATTACCATTGGGTTGGACAATGCAGGGAAAGCTACCATCCCTGACCACTTTTTATGAATGAAGTTGTGTGTACATCCCCGCAATAGGAAAATGTAATAGAGATAGTGATAAGTAATACATGTTCCCCAATGTGAGATATTGGTGGCCATGACCTCTTCACATTGGAACCCTTACTAAACTAGTACAGAATTAGTAATATTTGTTGACAGTACAGACAGATTTCTGTAACTAGAGAACTCCACAGAACATTGGCTCATGAGCACATAAGGAAAGTTAGACTGCTGAATTTTGCTAATAAACAAAATGATAAAGAATGTATGACTAGTCAGGTATGGTGGTGCACGTCTGTAATCCCAGCACTCAGGAAGCTGAGGCAGGAGGATCACTGCAACTTTAAGACCAGCCTGTGCTACAAAGTGAGCCCAAGGCCAGCCTGAACTGGCCTGTGAGACCCTGTCTCAAAAAGACACACAAAAGGGCTGGGGATTTAGCTCAGCGGCATAAGTGCCTGCCTTGCAAGCAGGCAGTCGTGAGTTCGATCCCCCATACCGATAAAAAGGAAAAAGACAAAAAAAAAAAAAAAAAGACACACAAAAGAATGCAGAAATCTCCCAGTGCTTGAAACTCACTTCTGTTAAAGATCACTAATGGCATATCCAGGAATGCTGTGCTCTTATTGGTGAAGGATTTTGCCAAGGGCTTGAATGGATGATATCACAATTTAAGATTATAGGGGCTGGGGATTTAGCTCAGTGGCATAAGCCCCTGCCTTGCAAGCAGGCAGTCATCAGTTCGATCCCTGGTACCGATAAAAAAGAAAAAGACCAAAAAAAAAAAATTAAAAAAAAAAACAATTTAAGATTATATCATCTCTACTGAGCTCTTTTTATAGACTTTGTATAAACAAAGTGCTGGACTTCACCTGAAAGTTGCAAAAATTAATGGTTTAGATATATCTATAATTGGAGCTGGGATTTAGCTCAGCAGCATAAGCACCTGCCTTGCAAGTGCGTGGTCGTGAGTTCGAACCCCGGTACCAATTTAAAAAATACATACATTTATAATAAACTGATTTAGTCACACACTTCTGTAATCCCAGCACTCGGGAGCCTAAGGCAGGAGGATCATTGCAAGTTCGAGCCCAGCCTGAGCTACATAGCTCAAGGCCAGTCTGAACTGCGTAGTGAAACTCTGTCTCAAATAGACCAAAAAAAAGCATGTATTAAATCCATGATTGATATTTTTCTCATAAAAAATCCTTTGGGGACATTGTAGAGACTATGGTTACAAAGGGAGAGGAAGACATTTTGAACTTTAAAGAGCTCTATTGTAAGTATAACTCTCTCTAGATGAATATTGTTCTCTTCTGGTTATTAAATCAAAATAGGAATCAGTATACACTGTTTCCAGTATTTTGAAATGTAATGTTACTTCCAAAAAGTAGAGGCCAGGCATGATGGCACATATCTGTAATCCCAGCACTGGGGGAGCTGACAGGAGGATTGCTGTGGGTTCGGGGTCAGCCTAAACTGCACAGTGAAAACCTATCTTAAAAAGACAAAAAAAAAAAGGCCGGGCGTGGTGGCTCACGCCTGTAATCCCAGCACTCGGGAAAGTGAGGCAGGAGGATTGTTTTTTTTTTTTTTTTGTCTTTTTCATTTTTATTAGTACCGGGGATTGAACTCATGACCACCTGCTTGCAAGGCAGGCGCTTATGCCACTGAGCTAAATCCCCAGCCGAGGCAGGAGGATTGTTGTGAGTTCGAGACCAGCCTGGGCTACAAAGTGAGCTCAAGGCCAGCCTGAACTGCATAGCGAGACCCTGTCTCAAAAAGACAACAAACAAACAAAAACAAAACAAAATCCCACATATTTTTGGGTACTCTATTCATGTATCTTTCACGCTCTGAAATTTTGAAGGTTAATTCAAAAAATGGCAAGTTATAGAATATTCAAGAAAAGAAATAACTACTCTTTTGTTTTGAAATAGGGTCTTACTATGTAGTCCAGGCTGGCTTTGAATTCCCTTATATAGCCCAGGCTGGCGTTGAACTCACAGTGATCCTCCTGTCTCAGCCTCCCAAGTGCGAAGATTACAGGTGTACACCACCATGCCTGGCTTGAAATAACTATTCTTAACAATAGTTTTTTTAAATTTCAGTGAAAGCCAGAGGTTTACCTCAGTGGTGTAAAGCATCTACCTGGCAAACGCAAAGTTGTGAGTTCAATCCCCAGTACCAAGAAAAATAAAAAATACATAAATTACAGTGAAGGTTTTGGTAAGGAATGATAGTACATACAGTGAAAGTACTGATGAAACTTCAAAAGTTTCTTTCTATAAAATTTTTCTAAACCCAAATTAGGCATGGAAGGTCAGCATTAATGTTAGATTTTTGTGTTTTATACTTGTTTTAATGTTCAAATGCAGGTAAAACATTTAATATATGTCACCATGGTTTTACAAAAGTAAATTTTGGGCCAGGATAAAGCTCAGGGGCACAGCACCTGCATGGCAAGTGCAAGGTCATGAGTTCGATCTGTGATGACAGAATAAAAAAGAGAGACATGGTTTCATTATGCAGTTCAGG